AATTATTTAAACAATTAAGATTATACAGTGATATTTTACATTTTACTATTGCATTTCTGTACCTGAATACTGCTAATCTTCCCAGAAAACCGTAAAGCACTTTTATTTCACTTTTATCAGAGCTCTATTGCATTCATCTACATTTCTAAGTAGTTTATTATATGTAATGCTTGACTCACTCCTCTAAAAAATCATTCTAATCCATTGAAAATAGTGAATTCTTTACAAATAGAGCTATTCAATACGTAAAATTGTGGTCCCACTTTATATTAAGTGTCCTTAACTACTCTGTACTTGCATCAAAATATAGATACAATGTACTTAATGTGTTCATAACTTCTGGGGCTCTTGAGGAGGGATACGAGTAAGGTTGAAGAAAGGTTTGATGGTATGGGTAGGTTTAGAGTGGGTTAAAATGTAGGGAAGATCAACAGTGTACTAACAAATTAAATTATATAAATTAATTAAAGATGTAGTTACATGTATTCATTTAATCAGTCATAAGTACAATGTAAAAACTTGTATTTAGACAATAAACACATTGTGACGATTTATTAATTTCAGCGTAAGTAAATACCGAATATTAGTTAAGACTGCAGAAAAACAAAACATCATATATAATGTAAGATTACTGCACGTGCAATAATTGTGCTGCGCTTTGGTTCTCCACATCAGTATTTCAGTCAGGATGAGCTCTGGACTTTAGGTGGACTGTTTAACTTTGATTCTTTTGTTTTTTGGACTGGATTGGATCATTTTCAGTTGAATGACACAATTTTGGCCAAGCTTTAGCTATCAGATGGACAGCCTCACAGTTGGCTGTAAGAGACTTTGGTATATAAGCCCAACAAAATCATCACCCCTTCAACAACACGCTGTAGTTTGGGTATGAGGTGTTTGGGCTGATCTGCTCTTTTGGCTTGTGATGATGCTCATGGTGGCCAAACATTTTCAAATTGGTTGTAGGTCATTGTTCTAGAACTCTGAAATACTTCATCCGAAATTTTTGAATGCATTGTTTTTGTGTTGGTATCCGAATGAGTCCTATCGATGCTATCTCACGGCAATTTGTAACTTTTTGATTTTTGTGGCTAATACATATGAATTTGTACAATCTAATTCGTACTATTTAGTATGATTTTCTTATACCCCAATGATAGTTGGGTTTAGGAGCGGGGCTGGGTGACATGCCTTTTTAAAATCTGACATTTTCATAAGGCTTAACTTGTACAAATTTGTACGAATTAGCCACTAAACTGACAAAACATAAAATAGTTAGGTTTCCTTGCGGGGTCAAGCTGGTCCGATGCATATTAATTAATCCATTGCAAAAGAAATAACATAAAACAATTCAGACTCAATTCAAGCAATACTGATCTTATTCTGCGATGCAGAACTGCAATTGTTTTTGTGATTGTTTTGGAACTGAATATTCAACTGCCTATGGGAGAAATGACGAGAAATAGTAAACGGCAGAAAACAATCTTGCTCTACAAACAAGTGTTCTCAAGATTTTACATCGTGAAGAGTTTTCAGCATCAGTTTGAAACATCCAGCATCATAACTATGTGTTTAACACTAGAAATTAATCAACCCACACTGAAAAAAATTATTCAAAGATGATTCCTTGGATTTACTCAATTTTTTTACGTTAAGTGGTTGTAAACAATTTATTTGTGTTGAATTTAAACCAACAAATTAAGTTGAACATAATTAAACTTAATTTGTTTGTTTAAATTAAACACAAATAAATTGTTTGCAACAGTTCTGCATGCAACACTTTTTTCAGTGCAGGCTCATTCTGAAAACGTAGTCCCGTGGATGTTTCTGGAGACCGCGAAATACGTCCCGGGAGGTACGTAGGGCAGCATTTTATTTTTTTAAGCGAATGCTACGGGGCGGTGTGACGCCGTTTCCTTTCGCGCTTGCCGGCTGAACGCTTTCCTCCATGTGGAGGGCTTTCCCGCCGCAATCAGTTTGTTCGGTCAGCTAATCTTGTGTGTCGGCGGACTTCAGATGCAGAGAGGAGGAGTTGACAAAGGCGTCCGTGTTCGAGTCCGGGGAAGAGCGGTTCCAGAAATCAATAAGACAAAAACAGAATCCAAAAAAATAAAGCGAATGAGTTCATAACAGTGTGAGAACGTGGTAAAATCCGAAAAAGTGGTAAAAAAAAAAAAAATTCATGCTTTTTTTTAACCACAGAGTCTTCCTTTTGGTAACCCTTCCAAAAATACCCTACTTGTGCCATTTTTTCATTAGTACTTTCATGAAATGTATAATTTAATACGTGAACTGAAGCCTGTAGAGTCTGTTGTGAAGTTCTTATGTTGTCCGCTATTTCTCTCAGTGTTACACAGTTTGATGGGGTGAATTTGTTGGAGTCCTGAAGTGTTTGTGTGTGCCTTGAATGTCTTCAACCTGTGAATAAACTTCCTCACTGTGGAATAATGAACTTTAGATTGTTTGGAAATGACTGTATTTTTTAAGCAGTTGCTCCTCTAAGATCATCGCTAATGCATTCATCTTTGGCATTGTGTTCACACACCTGAAAGCTCTAGAAACACAAGCTGACAAAACTTCTGCTTCTCACACTTGTTGATGATCAGTTTGTAGTGTTTGGCTAATACTGACCCTCTTAATTCTTATGTTAACTGTAAGGGTGTTTATAGTTTTGCACTCACCGCTTTTACATATTGGCTTTATTTTTGTTAAATAAATAATGACACAATGCAATTTGTCAAGTGTTGGTGTTCATCTAAGGTTTCCTTTTCAGATTTTAAAACCTGACAAAAACCACATACTTTTTAAATTATGTTTATTATAAAAAATATAATAAATTCCATATTTATTGATATGGAACCATGAAATTTGATAGAGGGTCCAAATTTTTTGAGATGACTGCATATAAAAATAAAGTGCACTGTAAAAATATACATAAATTATCAGTTTTCTGTATTTTGTGATTCATGTTTTTATTTTTTATTTCCCCCATTTTGCTTTTAAGTTGCATTATGGGATCTTGATCTATCGTCCATCAACTTTTAGCCTTGAGAAGTTCCAAAAAGTGACTTTGAATTGATATATTATCTGGGTTTTTATACATTATATTATTACATTATATTATTTCAGACTACTAAAATGTCAATAAAACTCACTTTGTTAAAATGTAGAGTTGAATTTTTAACATCAAAAGTTGACAAACCGAGATCAAGATCCCATTATGCAATTCAAAACTGTAAATAAAAGGAAAAACACCTGTGACTTTTAATTAACTGATATTTTATAACAGTGTGTACATCAGATAAAGTAATATTTTATAATTTCAAGGCTTCTAGAATTTGTCTTTTGAAGAGTAGACTTTTGCGACTTTCTTATCAAACTTAATGGCGCTTTTAAAAAGTACACTTTATATTAGGGCTGTGTGATTAATTGAAATTGAATCGCAATTGCAATTTGAAACGTTGCAATTAGTTAATCACATTGCGTTAATATGAAATTATATATATATACATATATATATATATATATACATATATAGTTAGATTTGTCCTGGTCATTAATGCTGATGATAATTCTGATGTTAAAATATTGTGTTTGAGACATATGCTTACAATCTGTAATGTTCTGCGTAAAAACTGTCACTGATGTGATTTTCGTGAATACAGAAGACCGGGTGGGTATTTTTGTATAATGGCAGGTGTTGGATACTTTTTGGGCTGGAATCATTCAGCTAAATCTGGCAACACTGTGTGCACTTTCATTTCCACTGCTAAGAGCGGTTCACTTAACATGCGGCTCCCAAAGGATCACTCTGTGCCACAAACTGAATACAACTATTTTACTTGTATTCACAGCCTATGCAGGTTTTGTTAACTAAAGTAGACTTTTTTTCAGAGGCGCGCGCGCCCGCCCTCTCTGTGGTAACAGCTGACGGTCATCTCACGTCATGTGTGATTTTGCAGTCTCAAACACATTACATGAAGACAGAAATTGCATTTTTGAGGTGAATTATATCTTACAAATACAGCATGTGACTCTTTCAACACAATTTGGAGGTGTCCTCATCGCTGAACAACGTATGTAAAACAATGTGAAGACTTGCGCGGCCACCATTGCTACTGAACTTGAAAATATGATTGACAGAATTGCAGAAATGCTGGATTAAGATCGCCTAGGGCAGGGTGGCCAACCCTGTTTCTGGAGAGCCACCTTCCTGCAGATTTCAGTTTCAACCCATATCAAACACACCAGCCTGTAATTATGATGTTCAGGTCCTAATTAATTGGTTCAGGTGTTTTTGAGTAGCAACTGAAATCTGCAGGAAGGTGGCTCTCCAGGAACAGGGTAGGCCACCCCTGGTCTAGGGAGTCAAATTGAGATTGCGATCTTTTAACGATTAATTGTGCAGCTCTACATTTAATGTATTTTTTGGCATTATCAATGCACTGTTGCTTTAATTGAGTGTGAGAAGTGTGGCAAAAATAGACCCAGCGCCGAAACTACCAAGCTACAGCTGCTTCAGCGATGCTCACGTTCTGCTCATACTTGCAGTGTGAAACAGGCTTTAGAATACTTTGAATTAGAACAGATTTTTTTTTATCTACTTACACTGCATTTATTGGTAAAAAATGGACAAAGCTTTCTTCTTTTTGTGTTTAACCGAAGTAAGAAAATTTTAAAAGCGAGTAATAAATGACAGAACTTCATTTAGCGTGAACTATCCCTTTAAGAATACCCATATGATGTATTTTAAATACAGGCTCCATTAAATGTTAAGTCTGCACTTCACATATTTGCACATTGGAAGCATGAGATTCGAATGTTTCCATAACCACCACCATGAAGATAAGGGATCATAAAAAGGGTACATATTTTGTGAAGCATAACTAGAAAGGACCATAGCAGAAAGACTAGGTATCATGCTGAGCAGGATCATAAAACAGGAAGACAAAGCCCAAGATGATGATGGAAGGCTGAAAAAGTTATGTGGTGATATCTACCAGCTGTTTGCGGTTTTCCTCCAAGCTCAGTCCAAGAACTCCCAAGAACGATCCAAACGCCAACTGCAATCAGTAGACAGACGTAAATGCAAGAAGAGAAACAAATGAAGCAGACTTCTCTTAAGAACATAAGCAGCGCCATATGAGCACTGGAAATCATTATCATCGTTTCGATTAATTTCATCCGAAAAGATTTATGACACGGCCTCAATGGTTCTATCAAGCTTAAGTGACAAGAAAATATGAGGGGGAAGTCGGAAACACGCAAATATTTCAGCAATCATGGGATAAGTGACAGATCCAAACCCCTCTGCATGTAAATGATCTTCAAGGCTGTCGGTTTATTAGAGATATACTGCAGTTGTCCTCCTAGTCCAGGTCTCCAGCAGGGTATCTGCAGGAGTTTCACAAAGCGTCCAAGTTCACAGATGGAAAAAGAGATGTTTTGGTAACACAGTATGTGGTTTACTTCTCACTGTCAGACTGGTTTTATCATCTTCTTTTTCCTGCTGTGAGCTTTTGATAATGTTTGACGCTGTATCAACAAGAAGCTTGGTATTTATAATGTCTGAACAGACTTGAGCTCAGCGATGAAGTCACTAATGCGATTCATTAATGGAGAACATGCCGCTTTGAGGGGTAAACAAGCCAGAACTAGCTTTGTCACGATTGCCAGTTTCAAGGTAAATTTTCTAATGTATTACCATTTCAAACTTTAGTCTTTTCATTAAAACCGTGATTGAATGTTTATGGAAATGTCCTTTGGTTGAAAATTTTTGGGAGAAAATTTTAAACTTTTTATCCATAGTATTAAAACAAACTCTCCACAATTTTGCATTTTAAATATTTTACTGATAAGAAACTAATAACGTAGTGCTTATTACATGCAAAACTTATAATAGCTCGTTTTTGGAAAAATATAAAAAGGCAGCATTCTGGACAACGGTTGTGGGAATTGTTTTATTGTTTGGCTTTAGAAAAATTGACTTAAACAGTCAAGAGAAAACCTGAATAGTTTTTCAAAATTTTGGAATCCCTTTGTAGGATTCCTGAAGCAAGCTGATACAAATCTTTTCTCTGTATAACTTGTATCACCTGCTATTGAAATACACTTGTTGTTATATAACGTACCTATATATTGTATGTGGAAGTACATGCATATACTTATATATTAGTACAGTGCCTGTCATATTTGAAATTAGTCCTTAATTAAGACAAAAATATCACAATTTGATTTATTCATCAAATCGCACAACCCTTTTATAAAGCAGCTACGTGCAGTATTACGATAAACAGCGCAAACATTGATCTTGTTTTTTTTCCCAAATGCAGGTTTAGCAAAGAATACATTGAATTACCAATAAAAACACAAACAGTTGTGTACATGAAATAATATAAACATAAACAAATCCAAAATGCAGGATCCATGTTTACATTTTTTGTCACAAAATTGCGTAAAGCTGCCAATTCCAGTTGCCGTTTGTTTATTTTTAGATACAAAACTTGGTGAAATGAGTATGCAACAATTATTTTTTAACATTTTCAGATGATTTCAATAATAGTGATCACATTGATAACTATATTTTCATATCATGATTGTCTTTTCATATCATGATTGTCACTACAGTCATGATATGACATGTTTATTCTTGTGCAATAATCAATGAACATTGCTGTCGTATCATGACTGCAGCAGGCACAATGATATTACAAAGGTAGTTAAGTAAAAACACTGCGTAATATCATTGCGCCTGCTGCAGTCATGGTACAAAAGCAAGCACTTTGATTATTCCATCAGAATGAGAGTATAGTTCCTAGTCATATCAACCTAGATAATCACAACTTTTCATTTTCTATGGGTCTTACTACACAATGTAATACAGAAAAGTCAAGCTTTATACAGGAAAATAATCAACACTCTTTTTAAAATTTTGTGTGAGATGCTAATGGCCTAATTCGATTCAATGATTTATGCTAAGCTAAGCTAAAAGTTCTACACCAGACCAACAGATTTGCTGAATGGATTCAAAGGTTGTTAAACTCAACTGTTCAACTCTGGGGAAGTTGTAAAATGAGCCTAATCCTAAAAAAAACTATTTCCATCAGGTACATATTAACACGGTTATCTGGCAGGATCTGATTTCATCTCATTTTCATCAGTGTTCTTTTTCATAAATCTCCTTTAGGTTTTTGTTATACTCATTATACTCATCAGAGCATATGTGACTCATTAAATATGCTTAAAAACAGCTCTTTTACTTCTGTAACTTCAAAAAGGACTGAGCAGAGACCTTGAAATTTAGCAAATTGTAGCTTGTTTCCTAATTTCCACTGTACATGTCAACAACACCCAGTCATTAGAGTATTACTGTAGTGTACTGACTGCCTAATTTCTGTTAACACTCTCTCAACAGGCATTCCACATCTGTAAATAACTTTGCAAGTGCATGTTGTTTTTCTTGTAATCCCAACCTTAGAGTCTGCTATTCCACTAATATTTAATGAGAGTCAACAGAATGTCTAAAGCAAGCACTGTCAATGAATTGAGAAGCACATACTGTACCTCAAAATTCGTTCATTCATTCATTTTCGGCTTAATCTGGGGTTGCCACAGCGGAATGAACAGCCAACTTATACAGCATATGTTTTATGCAGCTAATGCCCTTCCGGTCGCAACCCATCACTGGGAAACACCCCATAACTCAAAATATTGTACAAAATCATACAAATTTGTATTGATGAACAAACTGACCCATAGTGATTCAGCAAAGAAGAAACACTGTGTGTACTATATATTCAAGTTGTTCCTTAATTGCATTCAATTGGCAATCCTAACTCAATAACTATATGTAGGATTGTGCTTGACTATTTACTGTTTTGTTCTCTAGAACTAATTATTTAATCCGGCTCCAGGGGACACACAGCACATTTTATATGTCACCCTTATTTAACACACCAGGGCCATATTCACAAAACACCTTAATCCTTTTTAGATTTTCTCCTAAATTGGCATGTTAGGAACTATTGTTAGCCTTAAAGGAACACTCCATCTTTTTTTTTTTTTTCATTTTACAAATCTCCTAGAGTTGAATTGAACAGTTGAATGGAACCATTTCTGAATCTGTTCAGCCGATTTCCTTTTCATTTTTAGCATAGCTTGTTTGCGGGTTTGGCCATTAGCATTACCTTAAAAAAATGTACACTGTAAACGATTTCTGTTGTTTTCACAGTATTATACTGCATTTCTCAACAGTTTTTTACTGTATAAGCTGTGCACAGTGTGTTACTGTATATATTGTTGTTTTCACAGTATAATAATGTATTTTCAACTTTTCTATACTGTGAACATGGTTAACAGTATGTTACTGTAGATTTTACAATGAATTTTGGGGAGAAATCAGTTACTGTGCATCTAAATACAGTACTGCAAATGACTAAGAACAACTCCACACACACTATATATTATGATTATTACGTTTATTTATTTTTAGACAAATTATTTTGTGAAGTAAATAACCTAACCAGTTTCTTCAGACTGTTCAGTGCATTAAACTGTCCCCTGGTTTTCCATTTTTGGGTGCACTGCACCTTCATTTTATAAGGTAACATGGAAATATTAAATAATATTTAATAAACATAACTTTGTGCTGAACCAAAACATAAATTGGAACAAAAATAATTGATTCGCGTAACCAAAGACTGTTAAACACACAAAATGATTTCAAAGTCAACTTAAATGTCAGAGTGACCAACCTGCTTTAGACGGATTTAAGAATATTGGGCACCCATATGGGCCACCGTAGAGGGCACATATCTCCGCATTTTCAAAACAACATTTTAAAATACGCATTATCTTAATAAATAAACCACAAACTTGAGTTTAAAACAACTACATTCTCGCATGAAAAATTGTTAAAACTTTATTTCATAACACATTTATTATCTAGTCATCGAAGACAGGGGCATGTCTCAATAATGTCTAGGCCGATTAAAGCATGAGGTTTGCCGGATACATGAGTGATGGAGCGCCGTCAACCCCTGGAGGTCAGAATCTCCCCTATCGGCAAAGCACACTTAAAAGTAGACATGATATCTATAAACAAACCACAGATTTGAGTTTGGAAGAACTATATTCTCGCATGAAAAACTGTTAAAACTTCATTTCGTGACATATTAAACGCAGTATTTATGATATGATCTGGCTTCATCCGCCATTATATTTCCTTGTTGGTGTGAAATGAACTCTGGGAGAAAAAAAAATATAATTCTCAAAACACTTCAAGCGAACCTTATTCTTATTGTTAAAGTCAGATATATGTAATATTTTTGCTGGTAAAGTGAAAAAAAATATTACCGTTACTATTTTATCAATATCACTTTTGCACTGGTTCGGTTCAGCATTCAAACGACAACGAATCGGATTGAACCGTTTGCTCGGGAATTATTTTATCACACGTGTTCACAAGCACATTCAGCAATATGTGTATAAATGTGTGTGGTCGAGCAGTTTAACGAAATAGTAATGATTCATTGTTGTGTCTTACAATAATATACAAAAAGGAATCGGTTTTAGGCAGATTCGACTCTTTACTGTTCTAAGGAGCCGATTCATAGAACCGAGCCGACTCGATTCGACCTTCACCAGGCAAGCAATGGCTCTTCTAATTTGAAATCAACCTGTCGCCTTTTCTTCCAGTGAATTCATCCTCGGTAAGTGTTTAAAAGTCAAATTCTGTTCGTTAGAGGATTGTTTTGTGTATATTTCCGTGTAGTGTGTGTAATTTAAAATAATTAACCAAGTTAAGTTACTTTAGTTGTAGGTAACGTTACTCATGTCACGTTATTCGACGCCAGACCGTGTTTGTAGTGTTTGCGAGGTATTAGATAACGTACAGTGAGTTTATCTTGAGTGAGTTTTTGACAATAGTAACGTTAACGTTACCTGAAAAAAACTTAACTTTTACTTGGGGTTAACTGCATTCATGAATTCTCTATTTCAGCACAACACTGAGATGAAGGCAAAGTCACCATGAAAAGTTAAACGTTAAGGTAAGCTCTGGTCT